GAAGAGAATGAATGTTCCCGGCTTCTTTTGGTTTAGCCTTATAAGGCACACCTAACCCTATCAGTAAATCATGAGGATGTATTGCTAGATGCACTTCCATATTGGCTGACCACCAATTTTGAAATCTTTTCAAAGCCAAGCTAGAGGGGAGGAAGGGAACAAATTTGAACTCACTCAAATCTTTCAATAGTTTAAATGTTGCCTCCTCTAATTTGGATTTGGGTACTCTCAGGTCTTTGGCTGTAAGATGGATATTCGAGAGACTGCAAAGTGGAATGGAATCCCCTGAGTAAACCCAAATTGTCTGGCAAACTGGGAAGGGCAGTATACTTCAAATATGCACTTATAAGCTCGAGGGTTTAAAGTGCAAATAAAAAGTTCCCTTGGCAACAAAATAGAAGCCCACATGTCTTTGTACGATGGAACGGAACACTGTTTATTAGCCAAGAATGTCCTTAGCCAAATTGGCCCTTTATTGGCATCAAAGGGAGAAAAGAAGGTGATAGTTGGGAAAATAGGGAGCTGGTGGAAAAAAGTAAGATAGTAGGCGAAAGAAGCGGGATAAAGGGCAATTCTAGCATACTTTTCTCCATAAGTGCTAGGATCTTGATCTAAGAATTTTAAGCACTTGGGATGCAAATCAGTAAAGTAAGCGAAGAGCTAGAGTTGAAGCACCCAGAGGGGACCTCCTTGGTTGATATCAAGAGGTTTCTCATAGAATTGGGAGCATGCTCTATAAACAAAGCCTAAGAGATAAGGGGCCAAGGCTATGCATTTCTCCACAACAAGGGCCTTTGCAAGTGGGACAAATTCAAGTATGATTCATTGAGATGATGTACAAAAAATAAATTTACACAACCAATATAAGATAAAGGAGAAGAGTTCTCGATTGCTCACAGGGCCTACCCTTTTGTTTTCAGTCTTTACGAAATCACTAAAGGAAGAATTCAAAGGTGGAAGAAAAAATTTCACCGAAAAGTCTGGATAACTGGGTGTAAAGGGGGTACTAAGGGGCGAGAGCCCTAAGAGATGGAAAATATCAAGAACGGTAGGAGCCATCATACCATAACGAAACTGAAAAATGTTAAAGGCTATATTCCAGAAACAAAGAGTGGCAGGAATTAAAAAAGGGTCTTCAGGAATGATAAACCTGGAAAGACAAAGGGCATCGAGGATGCAGAGTTCTTGTAAGTCCCGTTCTCTTGCGGGCACGACCCTGTCATACCATTCCTCCGACTCAACCCTCAATGTTGGCCAGCAACGGTGAGGTCGGTTCATTCTCCAATTTCCCCAGTCGAGCCCCCCTTCATAGAGAAGGAAGTGGTCCGCCAAACGAGGTACAAAGTTGGAAGTTAGGCGGGAGCCTCTTGAAAGATAGGACCTAGGACATACTCTTGTTTGTCGCTATGGTGAGGGACAAAGAGGCGTCCGTCTATGGTACTTGATCCATCAGTTGTAAATTTGGCAACCTCTTCCTCAATACACCTCTTCAAAGCCATTGTTGGGCTTATACGTTTGCCAGTTGGTACTTTCAAAGAAGAAGAATCCATTTGTGGCAAGCAGCGAGGAAGAAATGGTCAGTAGAGGGGAAGGGTTTGTGTGTTGAGCAAACGAGTGAATTCAGAGCACGAAATATAAAGGGTTTTAAAACCTTTGTGTCTGAAAAATATATTGTAAAATTCATAAAGAAGTACTAAAAGTACGGATGCGTAGAGTTTCCCTAAATATTGATTATTTTGGAGGGAAACGCATCTCAAATACTAATGTCAGCTTCAAAATAAAATATTTGGCTTCGAAACCAAATTTTGGCGCCAAAGTCAAATGACAAACGGCTTCGAAAGCAGGAAGCCGGCTTCGAAGCACATTCCGCACCTAAGGATGCAAGAATGCTCAAGTATTTGTTTACCTCAAAAGAATTGAAAACCTGTTTTAGGGTTTCTCAGTGAGAATAAATCCTTCGAAGCAAAACTTGAAATCCCTCAAGGTTAGGAATTGTTTGTTCTAAGCTTCAAACCAATAGTTGGTTTGACAATATACAGAAGAGAGTGCTCTTTCAGAATAAAACAATGCAGCCCTAGAAAGAGGCTTCCATATTTTTTGAAAGTATGGACTGTTGTTCGAAGCAAAAATGGTCAATGTAAAACTGATTGATCGTACTGACCATATGTTGGATATGATTAAAGCAAGCTTTAAGGGGAAAGATTGTCGAATTCGAGGCTCTGATTCTGAAAGGAGACTTCCATATGTTGGAAGAAGTCAAATTGGTTTTCGAATATTTCATTAAGAGTCAAGTTTCGAAGAGAAAATTAATGAATTCGAAGCCATAATTTTGTTGGTTCTGGATAAGTGGAGTAAAATTAGACCATACCAAATATAAAAAAAAATCTCTCTGCTTTATTAAGATAAGTATGATTACATCAGAGGCCTTGCTTAGGCACATATTCAAGCTCATAAAAGTAAGGAACAAAGTAAATGACAAGATCATGGAATTTGGTCCAGCTATGGTCAATAAACTTCTGTTCCTTTTTTATTCTATCTTCTATTTTCTCCAAACTTGGTTGTTGAAGTTGATGTGTTCTTACTTGACAAAAGATTTTTTCAGCCTTTATTTTAAACTCTGTTTCTTTTAACCCTTGTTCCATCTCATCCATATCCAAGTCATCCCAGTACGCAGAGTCTTTATTCTTGAAGTCATCATATTCTTTGATGAGGTTCTCTGCTTCATACCGGGTATGAACTCTAAGGGCTGAAAGTTGGTTCAAAGATTGGGTGGTGGCCACAGAAGTTTGGTGCCAATGAAGAAGCAATGGGAGTTGGTCCAAAAACATCTGGAGCTCTGCTTGGGCGATGGGGTTGAGGACAAGACCCCGGGTCATAACATCACAAGCCCATAGAAAGTTCTTGAGAGGAACATCGTCCTCAAGAACATCGAAGGACAAGTGAGAAAAGGCCGCAAGCAGAAGTCGGGCTTGCTGTCGCTAAGCCGGAGTAGAGGGATGTGGAGGATTATAGGGGGGAAAAACTTGGTCCTCGAAGAGGATAAGCCTCAGTTTCTCTATCCAGTGGGGATTGTGCGGAGGAGGAGGCATAGAAGCTTCCTTCTCGAAAGAAGGAGGAAACTGGGGGGTGTTAACACAATCAAGCTAGTCAAAAGTGCAAAGCTTTGCCTTCTGGGCTAAGAACGATGGGTTATACCCTTGTACCTCTTCTAGACGTCGGGTGGCTTGTACTATCTTCGTAGGCATGGAGGATGTATACCATGCTACGAGTAGATTGTCCTCCAACCTGCGGCGGCAGTCAATAGATACATATGGATAAACCACCGAGCTTCGAGCAAAGGGAGGGAAAGTTAGAGGGTCCACAAATTCGACAAAATGATGATTAACTCGCTCCCTTAACTCCGATTCCTCAAGTTCTAGCCAGTTTCTCCAACTAGAAGCCCTAGAGGACGAAGAAGCTGCATCCTCATCCCACGCAGAAGGTTTTAGATTAGAAGAAGAGTTTCCAATATCCATATTCGCAAAACTTTGGGTTAAAGAATTGTGAGTAGCAGGTGCGTAATCCAAAGGTTGATAGTTTGCGAAAGCTTCCATGACTTGAATATAGGGAGGTAGGTAAAGGTGGCTAATCAATGCATGAAGGTTCTTTCGAGGATGAACATCATCATCAAATAACTCTTCGTAGGCTCGATCAATGTAAAAGAGAATTGGTTTGGCCATAAAAGATGTATCAGTCTTTTCGAATATTGAGATGGTAGGGATGTTCAAAGGATTAGAAGAGAATTTAATGCAAATGATAAATGACGGTTGCATTTTTGGAAAAATGCAAAGCCCATGCATGTTCTAAGACGTGGATAAAAAAAAAAAAAAAACTTGATCCACTAATATCACCAAGTATTGGGTATATTTGTGCGGAGGGTAATGTTGGCTACATATTTTGCATAAAGCCAATCACAGTTCAACACGTGGCAGGATGAGGGCAATACGGGGAGACAACTCAAATCTTCGATCGTAATCGTACACGTGGCAGTTAGTATTGGTTTTTATAAGATCTGCGTAGCACTGGATCAGTAAAGAGATACAAAATAATGTGGCTTCAACGGTTACTCATATTTTCAAAATCAGGAGGGAAGTTTAACTGCAGATATTGACATAGTGGAGCTAACTATAAAGCTACATGATCAGCGATCATGGAGGGACAGTTCGACGGTTAGAAGTGCAGTTCGACGGTTGTCATTGAGACGTATAAATAGCAGAGAAGGCCCTCGAAAGTGCCCCCAGACTCAGATCCAAAAAACCAGTTTTATTTACTTTATTTCCTTTCCAGTTTTTATATTTCTTGTTCTTTACGTTTTTATACTTCAAACTCCAGCACTGCACTTCGTTTATAGTAGTTTCAATTAGTTTGTTGCTTTTGTAGTAGTTTCAAGTAGTTTGTTGCTGTAAACCTTTACGAGGCTGATTTGGATCTTTGTAAGTCTTCTATTTTACTTAATGAAATGCTATAATTGTTCTTCATTTACTCATTGTTTGCTTAATTCTCCTAAACAAAGCCACCAGTAAAAGTCCTCTTCATTGAGGCTGAAAGAACTAAAACACAATCGTCTGATAATTGGTTGGCAATTAATATTCTGTAAGGACTGATTGATCCTTACTGGCACGCTCAAATTTACATTAATAACCTTTGAAAGCCAAAAATGTCTGTTCAGCCATTTTGTTTTTGACTTCTTCAAAAACTGAAATTTTGTTTTTGAAAACTGAAATTACATTAATCACTGGGACCATACTGACTCTTTGCTTCTTCAAAGCTGAAACTACAGAAATTGAAAAATAAAATTTCTCTCTTTCTTTGTTTCTTCAAAACTGAAACTACCGAACTTGAAAAATAAAATTTCTACGAGTGTTAAGAATTTTAACCGTTGAAAGTGTTAACAAGTTTCCATGTTCGGGTCTACATTCCCGAACAAATAATCTATGTTCAGGAATGTGATAACGAACAAATAAGTAATATTCGAGCATGCATTTCTGAACTTGAAAAAATAAAAACTTCTGTAAGCGTCAACAATTTTGACCATTCAGTGGATTAAGAAATTTCCATGTTCAGACCTGTATTCCCGAACATTACTTATTTGTTCAAGAACATCTTCCCGAACAAATAAATAATGTTCAGGCCTGTATTCCCAAACTTAAAAAAATGAAAATTTCTGAAGGCGTTAACAATTTTGACCGTTCAATGTATTAACAAAATCAATGAATTTAGATAAATACAGGGAAGGGAGGACAACAATTTCTCCCGAGTCCTTTATCTTCTTCAGAGTAGCAAATCCTTCTAGTTGAAGACTTTTCGACAAATAATTTTGCTGACTCTGGTAGATAATATCAACCATGGTATAATCCCGACCTGCATTGGCATTATAACACCTTATCAGAACCATAATGCAGAAAAATCATCAAGTTGATATCTTATGATTTGTGCATGTAGAAACTATCAAGCTAATAATGTCTTAGAATTACTTGATTTGCGCATTATTTTATTTGCTTCAGATGACTGGAAAGAAAAAAATAATCTTCAGGACTGGACATGTGCACTTCTGTTCTCTGTCATTTTACACCGGTGGCATATGCAAAAAGTTGGCTAAGAATCATAAAATGTCTCAACCATGCAACGTATCAAATACATGAAACATTTACAAGTACAGCTGATAGAAATCTAAACATCTCAACTAAAGTTTTTTTAATAGAAGGGGGACAAAAAAAAAAAAACTATTAAAGGAGTACAATAGGAATAAAATGCACAACATTTACATGTAAGAAAATGAGTTCGATGAGTGATGTTACACAAAAAAGAAATAATAAGAAATGAATGCATCAAAGAGAAGTTAAAAAGTGGTTACCAAACAAAGATAAAATACGAAGAAAAAAATTGATATTTTATGCCCATGCACATTGGGAACCAACTAACACACCCATAAGGTGTGATTTGACACACGTTGAGTGTGTAAAAAGAAATAGAGGAAAGCCAAAGAGGACATACGTCCAGAGATAAGTAAGAAAGAAATGACATAATGGCTTTAGACTCAACTAAGTACATGACAACAGAGGAAATGAATCCATATAGCTCAACCCAAGTAATTGAAACAAAGATTTGTTGAATTGAGTTGAAGTGTGTTGGTTTGTGTGTGAGTGCACGTTTGTTTTTTTGACAAAATGGCATAATAAAACATTTATCTAGTGATAAAACAAAAAATGAGAAGAGTCAGAAAACTGTAACTAGTTCATTACCATGACATTGTCGTTCAAAGGACTCCCCGCTCTCCAAGACAACACCTTCCCTGCAAAAGGACAATTGTACTGAATCAAGACACTACAGTAACCTGTCAAATATTTATATTTCTTCAAACACTCGATGAATAATCATGCCTGCTGATGGGCTTAGCTCAAAGCGTGTCATCCATGATAAATTTGTTAATCAGAGTAAGAAATGCAGCATCACAACAAGATGGCTAGTATATGAACTTCAGAGTCGATAGAGAAGTTGTACACACAAAAGGTAAACAGGAAACATAACATGAATTTAAATATTAGTGACAGGAATGCATTACCAAAGGGCTCCACGAGTTGCTTAGATATAGCAGCCACGGGGATCCGCCAAAACCAGCAAATCAGCGAAAAATATGTAAAAATCTGTTTGGTAACCTTGCAAGTAAACACTTCAGAACTTTGTTGAGTGAAACATGCAAATATTTTACGCATCAAGTAGTTCCCAAGATCACCTTTAATATTGTGAGACCCTTCAAATAGGCATCATATGACAATTTCATCTCCTTCTTGTGCAATTCTTGAACTGCAAGTTACTTAACAGTGTGTGTTAGCTTCCATCCATGTGAGGCAAAAACAAATCCAAATTGCGAAAGCAATAACAAAACAGCAGTAAATACAAAATACAACAGGAAGAAAACACAGAAAGATACAAGGCATAGGAGAGAGGCTAATAACTTCGACGTAGCATGCAAAGCCTAACCATTTTGAAGCATAAACATGTACATCTCATATGGTACCTATCTTTTAAGCCGATATAAGATAAGTCAGCTTAAAATCTAGATGCATTTGAAGGATGGCCACCTTTTAAAAGGCAGCAACTTATGACCCAATTAAAGCTTGGCATATGAGAAAATAAAAACTAAGAATCAGCCAATACGGGTACCTATCAGAAGGAAGGAGTCAAATTTCAATGCAACATATTAATGAACTGAGACACTCAAAAAACTGCTAAACCCATCGATTTTGTGGTGCCCCAAATCCATCTTGAGGCTTGGAGACAAGATGGATGAGGTGAGATGAAGGTACAAAATCCATATATTTGATTTTTGTCCCAGATCACGTGGTGAAATGTATGTGAAGTGTCTTAAAGTGTGAGCTTTGGACCTTCATTGAGCAGACAATATTGAACAATACAGGGTCAGGGCGTTCCTTACAAATTATATCAGTCCATCAACACTAATACCACCTAATAGACCATGTAAGCCAGACCTAAACAATTTACACACTCAAAACACTCAATGAGACCCCGTCAACCCATTATGAAAAGGACTGTGTACACTGTATGCATTGGCGGAGGTTGCCTCACATAACCACCACCACCAAACAAAATAGTGAAGAACCCCAAAGGGCTAAATGTTTTCACAAACTAAAAGGGAACCCCCCCCCCCCCCCAAAAAAAAAAAAAAAAAAAGAAAAAAAAAAAAAAAAAAAAAAAAAAAAAAAAAAAACAGAGATTTGCAGTAGAGGCTGATAGAGCAGCACCAAACTTCATCCCAAAAACAGCAGCACAGCAGCAGTTCACCTCAAAGCTCACACAAAGCTCACACAGCAGCATTTCACCACAAAAACTCACACAGCAGCAGTTCACACAGCATCAGTTCAACACAAAGATGCA